GTGGCTCAACATGCATCCGCCCCACATCTCCCTGCTCTCAGCCACCCATAGCTCCATATGACAGTAGGAGTACTAGTGGAAAGACAAACTGAGCCTTAGCTGTGTAAATATGAGAAAGAGTTTGATTTCAGAAAGGTAGAACAGCTCCTTCATCCAATCCTGAGATTGAAATCTAATCCGCCATTCATCTTCTGGCCAGTAGATGTGGAAGTTTCAAGGCAGAATTATACAGAGGATATCAAGGAGCCGTGAACTATCTTAAAAGGTTGGGTTAAGTCATTAAAAAAAAATGCCATCTGTGAAAAGTTATTTAATCTCAAGTGGAATCTGATGTTATTTCATTGTTGAACACAGGGGCTAACAAATCTATTTTTATTTATTCCTTTAGGTGGAAATGGGCATGAAGAACCATGAAATAGTTCCTGCTAGCTTAATTGCTTCCATTGCCAGCCTTAAACATGGTGGCTGTAATAAAATTTTGAGAGAGTTGGTGAAGCACAAACTTCTAGCTTATGAACGAACTAAAAGTGAGTTTGAATTTTGTGTTGGACTCCCTCTCGTTCTGCCCCCAATGCTTCACAGTGATACTTGCAGAAGTACCACAGTTTGGCACGTATGAGCACCCAGAGCACTTACTGGCCTTACCTTCTCTTGGACCTACCCTGGGAATATGGATTTGTGCAGCACCAGATGTTGTAGGTGTCTGCTGAGCTGCTTGAGCCTATAAAGATGGCAGCAGAACAGAGGAACAGTTAACTTTCTTTTTTGCTCAGCGATGACATGAAAAATAAAAGAATCATCAGTTAGGGCAATATTCAAATGCATACAGGAATCAACCCAAATGAGTTACAGTCTTACAGTACGTAAACTGGAGCAGACTACAAAAGCCTTGTACATTTCACTCCCTCAGAAACAGCTACGAAAGTAGTTTGTATTCCCTGTTATGTGACAAGTACTAGCTGTGTAGGCCTTTGCCTGTTTCCTTCAGCCTTTTAGTTGCATCTGGCTTTGCAAGCATACTGTAGGAGTCTTCAGGAAATTCCTATCCTTTTTCTCTCAGTTCTTCAGAGTATTAAGGGTTGCTCTAGATCATTGCAACAATCCCACATCCCTGCTGTGGCTCCTGTGTGTGTATCTTTCAAAATGCTCCTTGGGTTTTTCCAGGCTATTTGAAGTACTGCCATTGCCCCTATTTAAGAGGGGGTAACTGATCTTTGGTCCAGTTGTCAATTTTCATAAAACTTGCAGGAATTTAAACATTGTTATCCTTCTGTCAAGTTGGGCTGATACTAGCCAGCAGGTATTGTGTACTGTAAGCCAAAACAAGAAACAAGACAAAATTGAGATTTATTTTAAATGTAATGTGTACATAATGAGGCATGAAATGTTTTGTATTTTATTCTTACCTAGCTGTCCAGGGTTATCGGTTAACTAATGCAGGATATGATTACCTTGCTTTGAAAACTTTGTCTTCGCAACAAGTCATATACTCTGTTGGAAACCAGATGGGTGTTGGCAAAGAATCAGGTAATTAAAAAAAACAATTTTAATAATTTTTTTTTAAGCAAACACAGCTGTAATGTTGCACATGTTTTGCTAGAAACTAGATAATTTTTCCTCTGGATAGTCATATCAGTCAATCTGTCAAACACCAAGACTGATGGGTCGCTTGTTGAAATGCTATGTGAGGTTTCTGGCTGCATTTGAATATTTCTTTACAAGAGTGTCATTCTGCTTTGACCATTTTGTCTGATTCCTGATTCATTGCTTAAAAAGGTACTTTGCAGGCAGAGGCTGTTTGTCTCATGCTTTGTGAAGAGTTTTGAACCACTTTAGCAAAAAGATAATTTAAGCTTTTTCATCCCACTAAAAACAAGATAGTAAAGTAAAATAGGCACAAAACTATTGGAGTACTATCTTGGTTCCTCTTCTGTTTATGTAGATTGTGAGTTGACACAGCAGGTAGCTAGTGTAATTGAAGAATAAGGGGATTATTGGGGGCAAATAGTAGAAATGAAACATAACCTATTTGTTAACACTGTTTAAACGAAGAGGCTGGTCCCTGGAGTTGTCTGTCCACTCAGTAGAAAGAATGTGGCTCTTCCGGAGTGTGATGAAGAACACCAGAATCTGCCCCAGATTTCTCTCAAGGGTAGCTTATATTTGTTCTTTGCTGTGCAGGTAGCCTGGGGATGTTAACCTGACTATAGGAAACTTAAGATCTCCTACTCTCAAAGACATTTCAGATCGCATCAACATTTCTTCTAATGGGGTGCCATGATCTCTTTAACTAACTTTTTCGTCTTCAGATCTGTAATACACAATACATAAATTTAGCTGTCTTTACTCACTGTAGTAGAACTTGCCATGCCAGAAGCAGTGCTTGTGAGAAGTGAAGTAACAAACTTATCTCTGCACTTTTTCATCAGGTACTAGCTTGTTAGATACCATTTATTTCTTAGATCTATGCCATTATGTGTCTTCTAGATATTTATATTGTTGCAAATGAAGAGGAGCAACGGTTTGCATTGAAATTACATAGGCTTGGAAGAACTTCCTTTCGCAGTCTGAAAAATAAACGCGACTACCACAAGCACAGACACAAAATGTCATGGCTGTATTTATCCCGGCTAGCAGCAATGAAGGAGTTTGCCTATATGAAGGTAGGTGGCCATTCACACAGTATCAGCAATGGTGTAATAGACTGGAAGATAAGTTCTCAGACTGTCTTGAGCAGTTCATATTTGCAGTACTGATAGGATTTGCAGTTTGTTTGGTTTTTTTCCCAATGGACTTGTTTTGTGTGCTTTCCAGTGGCAATACGAAGCTTTGTTATGGAAGTCATGTGGAACAGAAGCAAATGTCCTGAGGGAATTTCAAATTAACATTGTTATTTGTGGATAGATAATTTACGTATCACCAGTTTTGCTGTTTTTTCTTTAAAACTTATTGCATAAGCTTGCAAAAACACATTAAAAAGTAAGGAAGGTTACAGTTACTTCTCAGAACTATTATTTTTTTGTTCAACTGTCTTTTTTTTTTAATTCACTTCTTTATTTTTTAATTTACCATATTTTCAATTGTTGCTGTGCTGTTGAGGGAAATCTTGTGGTCCAGACTGGTGTGCTGATTGAAAAAGGCACACTTTGTTCTATACTGTGGGAAAAGATTTCATTTCCAAGTATATATTGCTACTCCCAGTATTCCAGATTTTTTGTCCTGCTTTAAAAAAATGCAGATGTTATATAGTGATTGAAAATTGAGAGTGGAAAACTAATTATTTATAAAAAACTTTTTCCCTTCTCCTTTGGTGCTATTCAATAGTACTATATACAGTATTTTCTTGTTTCTCTTAAAAAAGCTTTATAGGTTCTACTGGTGGTCTCCACAGAGAGAGAAGGACCTATTATCATCATTTAGAACCTCTTTATTGGTCCAGTTGGTCCAACTCGTAAAGCATTATGTGGTCAGGACTTGTAGGAATATAATTGTGGTGGTCAGTCTTCCTGAAAAGAGAGTTGGGGGAATATTAATTGTTTGCTGAAAAGTGATAATAGGGTAATACTAAGTAACAAAAACTGTCTTTATGTTGTTTTATCTTAGAACTCTTAGAAAAATTCACTGGTAAAAAGAGAATGAACCCATAAAGGAGTTGAGTGAATCAGGTGAATGACTAAATTTGTGTTAGAAAAGGCAAACAGGAGACCTTCAAAATATTATGACCTACATAAATGCTGGTTGTTATTTAAGAATGAACTTTTGTCTTAGAGCACCTGAGTATAGATTGACTGGTCGGGTAGAACTGTATTGGTACCAATTTAGCACGGATTGTTTTCTAATGCCTGACAACCTATTCCCAGTTATCTGCTGTTGATTACATGCGCTAACAGACCATTTATGATTCTGTCATTTTTCCATTCTGTTGTCTTTTTCTTCCAGATGCACAATAATTAAACTGTAGACAACATAGCAGTGCGCTTAGTGTCTAACCTTACAAGTTTTATTTGTCTTTGTGGTGAAAGTTCAAATGGCTGTTATGCAGTCTTCCTTCTTAAGCATGTGATTTGATGTTTCCAGTTAGCATTGAAGTAATGTATGCTGCTTCCACAGTAATATTTATTGCTTATCTTAGACAGGAGTTTGTCAATATATGTAATGTTTTCTTAACTGTTTAATTTTAATTTTTCAAAGTGTTGTCTCTTTCCAGGCTTTGCATGACAGACAATTTCCTGTTCCAAAACCTGTAGACTACAACAGGCATGCAGTTGTTATGGAACTTATTGATGGCTATCCTTTGTAAGTACTGACGCTTGAATTCTTTGTTATAGAAACCCTAAACAATGTTAGGTTCAATAAGGTGACAGGGTTAAGGTTTTTCCTTGTCTCGTGAGTGAATTCAGACTGCACCATGCTGAATAATGCTCTCTGGCCCACACTCACTAGCATTCTACTTAGTTATTGCCTTGCTTCTCTTATCTCTTTACTCAGATAAATTGGGTTTTTTCTTAGTCCAAAGAAACTGGTGAAATTGACTAATTTTTTAAGTAAGGAATGCATCAAAAGAGTGGTGTGACACAAGTTAGTACTGCAACTGTTTTCTATACAGAAATTGCATATTCTGTATGTTATTGGATATATACAATATTTAATATAATATCCTTCCCGTTCTGCACTCCAGTTAGTCATCCTTGCTCTGGTAGTTCAGGTAAGATTATAACTCACTGTTTAAGAACTTCTGCTCTGTTTATGTAGAATACCACGTATAATCTGGTTTTGCTTCTTCAAGGAAGATTACTTTGCTTGAGTTGTTCAACATCTAGAAACATTAAATATCATTGAAGTTTGTATGTGAAGGTATGGTTGGTTTTGTTTGCAAAGCAGAATGCAAAAGGTCTATATACTCGATATAATGTAGAATAACTGTAGGTCCGTATGCAGAGATTTAAAGTGTCTAGTCCTAGAACAAACCAGCCCGTGTTCTTGTATAGTAATTAAGATCTTAAGTGGGCAGTTTAATCAAAAAGGAATTAACCCCAAAGCATAACAGTTGAAGAGTAACACAGAAGAGACTTCATTATACTCTGTCTCCCCACTTTCATTTGTTAAATAGTTCCATCACTCAAGCATCATCACATCCAGCACTCAAGGATACATCCCATCAGGGTTCATGGACTTGTGTATGTCCAGTTTTCTTGAGTGTTCCCTGAATTGATGCTCTTCTCCCAAGGGTGCATTTTCCTTGCTCCAACCCTTACCCCTGGTCCCTGGGACCGGAGATTCCTATCTCAAAAGATACCAGTTAACATGACTTCCAAATTCAAAGAGCAAGTGGGACATTTTATGATACAGACCTGTGGCTATGAGCAGTGTCACCAATTAATTTTGCTATGAATAGGAAAGTGTTCAACATGAGCCTGTTAAAGAGCTTCTGGACTTCCATTGTTTGTTCTTTATATTGTACAAATGATCCATTCTCATAATACTGTAGTGCTGCACTTGGACCAAAATATTCCGCATGATAACTCTTAGATGCTGACCAGTTCTTGACAGTGTATGGTACAATACGGTAAACTGCCTTTTTACTTTCTACTTTTTACTTTTACATCTTATAAAGACCAGATGATTTGTATTTTGCTGGTTAAGGTACTGTGCTTTCTCAGGTATGTGTTCAGGAATGATTTAAGATTTTTTCTTTTGTTTTTTTTCTTTTCCCCTAACTAAGTCTAGAAAATAGGGTTTTGTAAAAGAAAATGTCATGGGGCATTTGAATTTGAATACAGGAAGACCTGGTTCCTACTGGCACCATAAGATTACTTATAAATAGGAGAGACAGGAAAATTTACGGCTCCATTATTTAAATAATGCATCATGACAGTGGTGCCTGATGGGAGACAATGAGCACAATTTGAAATGAGATTTAGCAGGAGACATTTTCTCCCGTTGAAGACAGTGAGGCAGTAGCACAGGGTGCTTGAGGCAGCTGCACAGTCCTTCCCCATCTCTGGAATTTTTCAAGCCTCAACTAGACAAAGCCTTGAGCAATCTGGTTTGATCTCAGAGTTGACTGAGGTTTGAGGAGGGTATTGGACTGGAGACCTGAGGGCACTTTTAACTTGAATTACCCTGGCATTCTGTCATATACTTTGTCTATATTTTTAAATTAAGTCTTTCAAAGTTCAGAATATTTATTTTATTTTGTTTAACTTTCCAGGTGCCAGGTGCACCAAATGGAAGATCCTGCCTCTGTCTACAGTGAATTAATGGATCTAATTGTAAAACTTGCCAGTCATGGTTTGATTCATGGTGATTTCAATGAATTTAATCTTATATTAGATAATGATGACCATATCACTATGATTGATTTCCCTCAGATGATCTCAACATCACATGCAAATGCTGAATGGTAAGTTCAAATTTAAAGATGTTTTCAAAGTAAATCTGGCAAATGCTGATGACAGCAAATAGTCAACCATGACTTTTTTACATAAGCCTGTTTCTGATTCTTTTTCTACCGTTGTTGTCATGCTTTTCCAGTCTAAACAATTCTATGATTCTATGCAGCACAAATAACGTTCCAAACACAGTTTGATTTATTGAGTACAAATGTCTCTTTAGGATAAATATGTAATTAATTGCTTCTCAGAGAGAATGACATTTTGCAGTTAAGAAATGCTTAGAAGTAAACTGCATGCAGTTGTGTCCATAGCCTTTTGTCTGGGGATCACTAATTCTCAAATGAAGTCAGTAAAAGACAAGAAATGTAGGGTAAGGTTTGTCATTGCAGTAGACTTCATTACCTTTATTTTGTGTCTGTACAATTCCGTATTTTTTACAGGTATTTTGACAGGGATGTTAACTGTATTAAGGAGTTCTTTAAGAAACGCTTCAACTATGAGAGTGAGCTCTTCCCAGCATTCAAAGACATCAGGTAAAAACTGCCAGATGAATTTGAGTTCTCCTATTTATGGTATTTGTGTTGGTTTTGTGAGAAAAATCGGTGCCTGTGAGAGATACTTGTAGGAAAAATGAAGAAAATAGGCCCAACTATGCAGTTTTAAATTATGTTTTTGTCATTCCTATTGTGTTTTCTTCAACTGAAGTTACTGTAAGTGGTTGCGAAAAGCTGAAGTGTGCTTTAAAATCCACGGCTGCCTCCTTTGCCTTTCCTCCTGCAGCTAAGGAAGAGAGATCAAGCTGAAAGTTTGAACCAAATGGTAAATAACTAGTAAATCTTAACAGTGATGCAGAATCCCACTTCTCAAAGCCTGTTTGACAGTTCTAGTATACTGAGGATTAATTAGGGCTTCAATTTTAGATTTATTTTAAAATGCCAGTAAATATGGGGATTGCATCTTCAAACACATTGAAAATTTTCATCCTAATGTCTTTTGTCCCTTTCAAAAAGTAAAGTAATTTTCCACGTATTTTAAGACTGAAACTGTTGCAATGAAAAGGGTTTTCTTTCATTCTGAACGATTTTCCAGAGGGGTACCACACCTGAATCAGTCTCTGTGTGTCAGTGTACTGTTTATTCTTCTGTTCACTTAAACATAAATTGAACTTAAAGCTAAATTGTTTTCCTGCTAAAATAAAATAATTTCCTGTAAATAAACAAACAAACAAATAAATGCTGGTTATGGAGGTGGAATCATCTTCTGTAAAAGTTTGCTTCTTTTAGGTCTTTACTTGACCTGAAGCTCAGCGCTATAATGTGGTGTTCTCTGTGTTTCAGCAGAATATATCCTCTTTGTTAATGGTATGGATAATTATAGTCTAGCTTGGTTAGTATTTTTAATCCAAGATGTGGCATATTGGTAGCTTGGTGATTTAGCATATTAAAAGAAAACATACTTCTTTCACAGGAGACAGTGTTCTCTTGATAGAGAGATTGCTGCCAGCGGCTGTACAAAAGAAATCCTGGAAGATGGTGAACTGCTTTACCCACCAGGTTCTGATGAGGATGATAATACAACAGAGGTATCAGAATTTGTAGAAGATGCTGAGAATAAGCTCAACTTCTTCAGCAAAGATAAAGAAAACAATGCAGGCTTCATTTATGAAGTGGGTGATTTCTCTGAAAGCAGAACCTCCAGCAACTTTATGTGTAGCAATGAAGAGGCTGATACAACTGGAAGTAGTGAAAATACACAAAGGTTGAATATGTCAAAGTTGAGTTCAGCCTTAGAAAAAGTTGAAGAGCAAGCTATGCTGTGGAAGTCCAGTGAAGATGCAGAGAGTTCTGCAGTTGCTTTTTTTAAGGGCAAAAGCGTAACTGAAAATGCTGCTGAAGTCAAAAATCGGGCAGGTCAAGGAGGGTGCTGTAATGATAAGAATGAAGACAAATGCCCTGATCTGATTGACTTGTCAACTTTAAATGAGAAATTCAGGCATTACAGGTAATATAATAGTATTAATAATATTGTTATAGGTAACCTGTTGATTGGTACTACATACATAATGCTTCATATGTAATTTGTGACAGATCAGTTGTCCAGCTGTGTAGTAGTATAAGTGGGAGAACATGTCTTGGATTTAATTCATAGACCAACTTATTTTCTATGGTGGAATTTTTTTCCCCTTTTTCTTTATTTCAGTTAATAATGGTAGTGAAAGAGTTCTTGATCTTGAAATACTGCTTCTAAATAACTTGTGAATAAGTTCGTAGTGTGAATGCTCTGTCTCAAAACCAAATTATTGTGCTGCTCACTCAGATGAAGTTAGCACGACCAAGCTGCTTGGAATGTATTATTCAAATGTACTGTACTGTGTGTTTTTAATTCCTTTCCTGACATACTTAGAAGTTGCTGCTTACCTGTAGGCTGTCCCCTTGTACATGAAATTCTAAGTCTGAGTTTGCCAGCCCACCATGTACCTGGATGCATATACCAAGCTCACACTCATCCTCATCTGCTTTTGCTTTTTAGCTAAATGACTTGTCAAAACATTGTGCAGAATCTGAAATTTATTTTTTTTAGTGTTCTGAAGCTTTTTTTCATGTGCTTGGTATACCTGTGGCTACTGTGCAACGAATTCTTCTTTTCATAAAATGCCTATTTTGAACAACTCGCGTTAATATTTAAAATACGAATGTTTTGTAGTACTTCCATGTTCTGTTGGGAGTTTTCAGATTGTATCTCAAAAAGTTAGGGCTAAAACATGATGCTCATAAACGCAAAGGATGTTTATCATGCTAGTGGAATAAAACATTGATATATGTATTTTAGAAATGAAGAGAGTATCGTTCATATTGCTGAGCCCAGAACAAGGACTGTAAGTATCACATCAGTCAGAAGTTTTGGAAGCTGTTCAACCTTTCCGGCGGTAAATATTATTGTTATTATGTTATTGTCTAGTTTACTGTCAGGCCGTGTTAAATTGTACATAGCTGTTAGTACTTATTTGTAAAGATGTTCTCTAGCATTAATTATCTTTAAAGAAACTGTTACCGTGTACCTCTCTGGTGTGCATTTCCATGCCTACAGAAAAACAGGACTGGTACTTCTGTAATTGTTTACAGGGAATGATTTCCAGCGCTTCCCTTCATGTATTGCTCTTTGCTCTTTCACCAAAGCTCTACATCAGCATGAAGAACTCTCATTTAGCCAGTAACAGGCTAATGGGCTAATGCAGGTTAACGTGTGTTAATTCACTAACATATAATCAGTTCATTAATTTCTGTTGCTAGCCACAATTAATATTTTTTATTTTAAAAGTGGATGCTTGAGTCAAGATTTAGTTTGGCCATTTTCAGCTGTCATCTTAGAGATTTCTCCACACTCTTGTCTGAAACATTTATATGACCTCACTTCAGTAGTGATTTCTTCAGCATTACGCATTTATTTGACTTTCTGCATTATATGAACCAGAACATTTTACAGCAGAGTTTAACATCTTTTTCTTCAACCCCAGTCTCTACACTAGTCAGTACGGCTACCCCTCTCACATTTTTTAAATTGCATTTTCATTTTAAAGGGAAGCAATTCCAGTGTTCTTTATTAGTTATAAAGTATTCTTGTACAAAACAGGAAGAAACTTCTTTCAGCTGACAGATGATCCATGAGGTATTTTTTCCATTAGGTCAGGCTACATACTTGCCATTGTAAATATGGGTACCTATGTTCAGTCTTATTTTCATTTGCAGCTGGGAGCAGAAGATCTGGAAAACATAGTTTGGGGAAGATGTTACTGTAGTTTCAGCTCTTTCATGACATGTACCAAAAGTAAATATATACTTTTTCAATTTGTGTCTTTCAAAGCATTTCTATTGGCTAATTGGAGTATTAGTCCTAGAAATACTATATCTGAAACCTTGAGTGCTGGCAAGAGTGATTTTTTTTTCTTTTTTTTTTTTTTTTTTTCTTAGATTAGACTTGATCTTCTTCAGTTACAGTCTTTTCAGTCTGCTACTTACTGTTTAAGTACTTTTCTAACAAAAGCTTTGCTACTGTCATATCAAATGATATGTTATTGTGTGGAGCAGCCTTGTTTTACACAAGGTGCCTGTCAGTGGCTATAATCTTCACAGAATAGTTGGCTGCTTTACTCTTTCATTTTTGGATGGGTTTTTTTAAGGTAAGTATTTTAAAGATAGACCAATAACCAATAAAGTTACATGTGTAAATAAACATTAAGGAACAGCATGTTTGCATCTTGTCTGAGACAGTTTTTTACAGGACTTCATGCTAGGAGAAAAAAACAACTTCGATCTTTGTCATCACAGCTTTTATTCTAGGGGATGGCATTGTATCTTCTTAAGGAGACAAAGGATTAAGTTAAAATTATGTGATGAAGTAAAGAAGAGCTGGGGTGACCTAGCAGGAATTCCCTAGCTTCTGGTCCATGCAATTTTTTTTTTATTTCTTTTTTTTTCTCCCCTTTTCTTCTGAGTTTGCTAATTCAAGAGTGCAGAATTTAAATAAAAATAAATTTTAAAAATCAGTGCTACTAAGTCCTGTAAAGGAAATTACTTGAAATTGTACTGCTGTATACCACTTGGTGGTAGCAGTAGTCATTACATAGCTGTAGAAACCTTTTTGAGTGTTTACAGGATGTATGATTATTCTATAGGCAGACACAAAAAAGTTGTTACAAATATGTAAATGGCATTTACATACCTAATCTTCTGTTCTAAAAGAAAGACAAGAGCACTTTAGTGGAAAAGTTTTCAAGAGATTCAGCCACCTAAATAACTTTATCCTGCACCAATTTACCTTGCATAATGTTTTCACTTACATGCTTTTATGCTGAGTAAAATAACATTTCTGCCCATTGCTGAATCTAATTTTTAGAGTGTTAGAGCTAAAGAAACGATAGGTATAATGAGCTATTTGTAACATAAGAAAATCGTTACAAAACTGAAAATGTGAAATAATGGCACTGCAGTAAGATCTACTGGGCTGCTTAAAGCTGATGCCTCTTACTGCTTCTAGCATTTATCTGTTGTTTATGCAGCTTGCTTTCTGTTCAGTGGAGAAAATATATTAAAACAAGCAGATTTTTAAATTGATCATATAAACGATACTGCCATTGTTTATATAGCAGTAGGTTGCAGTCATGACTTGGAGACTGTGCCAAAAAGAGAAAGCATCATGAATTTTGGAAGATCAGCTATTCTGGAGGAAGTAAGATATCTTCCTGTGCTTGTATGAACCTTTATATGCCCTGATATAATTTAATTAGAAGAAACAATGTGAATGATCAAAAATTGAATAATAAAATGTAAATCTGTTTACTGTAAAACATTTCTTAGTATTTGCTCACATTTAGGTTATGATGACGGAAAGATTAGAGAGTCTTTCTACTATGTCCTATGCTTGAGCAATAGAATTTGGTGAATTTACACGATGTTTAGATGTCAAAGACTTCTGGTATCCATCCTGCAAAATTTCTTGTAGCAAATTTTTATAACCTAGTCATCTGTCCTGGACCAGACTGGGAGAAGTAGAGAAGCCTACTTTCAGGGTTCTGCCTATAGAAAACACAGAATGACAGATGCTTTGTTGGCAAAAGAAGAACATCAGTGCAACAGTTTTGATTAGTTCTGTTCAGTTTTTCTTCATGTTTATTTTTAAAGAGAACCTACAACTTTTATTTCCATAGAGCTCATGGTTAAATACTGACTGCTGTTAAGCACCCAAAGAAAGAAGAACACATCACACGCAACTGTTTTTTTTAATCCACATTTTGGCAGTCAGCCTGCATGTGACATAGGAAACTGCTGTTCCTGATGAAACCAGGATTGAGAACTGGATTTATTGACTACCTTGTGTTTTGTTACTTTAGTTGTATTAGTCACAGCAATTCTTAAAGAGCATAACTTGCCAAAATCATGCTTTCTGGTTCCTGATTTACTGCCCACCAACTTAGCTTCACTGTAGCATATGAAGTAGTAAGCAATCAAGAAAGCACAACAAGGCAACTGAAGTCGGGGTACATGTGAAGGAAATGTAATTAGACGGATATTTTTCCTCTTGTCCAGTTACTTGGACATCAGCAGATATTTTATTAAGGGCAGATTTATCGCTTGATATGACTTTTTTTTAATGCTTTATTAATTTGAATAAAAATAAAACACTCCTTTGGGATTTCCAACAAGATATGATACTGTCATGATGAAATAGTTAGAGAGATGAAAATAATTTGATTTCTCTTTTTCTTCCAACACAAGGTATGTAAGTATGCACTCAAAATCAGTGCAGCAGCTTGAGCTGGGGTGATTTTCCAAATGACAAAACGTCAGCCATAGTCTATTAAATCATGGCTTCGTTTTTTATTATGGATATCTATATATCCATAACATGGATATATATGGAAATTGCCAACATAACGGAGAGCACAACTCAAAATGAAAACATAGGTATAAATAACAGGTGAAATTTCATGAAACTACTGCAGTTTTATGGCAATAACAGTCACTGTTGCTGTGTCAGTACTTTTGCTGTAGAGGCATGAGACAATCCTGACCTTGTGAATCTTTAACAGAGTGCCTCACAACAGGAGAAGACTGGAAGAGGAATTGTAAACTACTCCCGACTGCCTGCCTTTTTTAGCCACACTTGTGGTAAAGAGTTGTTGTTTTTCATTAGAATCATACTCAGATCTTTGTCATCCAAACTTTAGAAAAACCAGGGTGCTAATAAAATAGGCACAAACCAAATAATTACTGCAGAACATTAAATGTTCTATTGGTCCTTTTCTTTTTTTCTTTTTTTAACTTAAAAGACATTTGCCTAATCTTCAAGCATCGAATGTTAGCATCGCTTACATTTTTGTAGAAGTCATATGTTTTGCACCAAGAAGTACTGGTCCTTTATGATCCATGTAAAAAAGACACTGAAACTCTGTAAGGTATGATTTTAAATGCTATTTATTGGAGGTAAGACTATCAGAAGAGTATAGTATAAACTATATGCTATATATAGCATAATCCCCCACCCCTTTAGATGCTGGGAGGCCTGAGGGCGTAGCATTGAACAGGACTCCAGTACACATGCTGCATTCCAGGTAGACTTTGTCCATAGCAGAGAATCTCTATTTTCAGTCAGTTGAGCTATTTTAATTATTTTCTTACCAGGAAACAACTCTGTTCACCCTTTCTACAGTCCAGCTGAACTGATATGCATGTGAGAACTTCTTGCTGCACGTTTAGGTAAAGACAGGGCCACACAGGACACCTGGTTTCCGGTACTGAGCAGGAGCTGGCTTAGTTTATCCTACTGCCAACAGATCAGCACAGCACAGCACAGGCACGAAGACAGCCCTGCACATGCAGCTTAGTGCAACACAGCACAGACCTGGGCTTACTCCTGTTAACTGTTGTGCACATCACTGACTTCTCAATGTACAGAGGTCTTCAGATTAGGATCATCCGTGTTCGTGTTGGTACTGAAAATGCAGTATCATTGTGCCATGTCTTCATACTAAATGACCTTCAAAAAGTTCTGATACTGAATTGTTTGTTTATTTGTAGGAACTGGTGAAACAGAAGATAAAACGTCAACTGACCAAACGTCAAAAGTCTGCTCTGAGGCAACGGCTGCAAAAAGGAGAGGCAAATATTTATACCAAACAACGTCGAGAAAATATGCACAACATTAAGTCAAGCTTGGATGCAGCTAGTTTCTGGGGATAATTTATTAAAGCTCCCGTGGAACATCAGAAAACTCATAATGTGTGCAGTTGAAAGAATTATGCTAATAACCAATAATCCTTTTATATAGTGGAGCAGTCTCTTCTATACAACCGAATGTTTTTTCTGGAAGTTAACCTTATTTTGGTTCCTGTGATTTTGATTGGGGGATTTTATTTTGTGTTTCTGGTTAAAACTGTTAACTGTAATTTAAATTAAATGCATATTACCAGCTAAGATCATTTAACTGCACTGATTTCCAGCAGTGTCTTGTAAATCGATTGTACTGTATTTGTATAGATTAAAGATCTGTTGTGCAGAGGATTCCTCTTAAGAAGGAAGGAAGGGAAATTTTAAAAAACAACTTCTGCAACTACATGAAATTTATTTTTAGAATGTTGCCTTCATGTTACAAACAGATACTTGTTTGGTTAATTAAAAATCACAAATAGGAACCTGATAACAGTTAGTACTTTAAGATTTCTTTTGTATCTGTACAAACATAAGCAATCCATATGATGAATTAACATTCTTTGAAGCCAGTTATTCACACTTATTTTTTCCTTCACTCCAAGATGTCCCTTACAAATCATGGACAGAAAAACATGTAATAATAAGAGTGTTGTACAGACCTGGCAAGCACTCAGATTTTTAATGTGCCTGTGCAGTTACCAATAGATTTAGTTGCTTTGTGTCTAATAACTTACATAAAGTGATGAGGATTCTGGAACCTCTCTTTTCAAAAATATTACCATAACTTTTACTATGCTATCTCCTTGGGTTCTGAAGACCTAGGAGAAAAACAAGTATCTTTAATTTTTTTTAATTATTTTAAGCAAGATATGTCTAGTAATAAAATTAAATTACGCTTGTATTTAAAAACACATAATAGGGACTGAAGTGTTTGTGAAAAGTGAAGTGAGAGAGAGCATTTGAAATGTTTCTCTGTTCTTTTTTTAACCTATCCATTCTATCGGTGCTTGAGATGTGAGATGGAACCGTTCTTGGGAAGGACAACATGGTAGAGTTTAAGTTATCAATCTGTAGTCTGGAAAATCTTAAATCTTTTCCTTGCCTGAGTAAAAGAAATTAGGAACTTTGGCTTTGACCATGGGTTTTCTGCATGTCTGATTTGTTTTTTGCATGTCTGATACTATCTGTTCTTTGTCCTGTGGTACCTGACATGCCTGACACCTTATTCAGGTTTTAGCCTGTTGCAGAATTGCAGCCTCCATCCTGTCTTGCGTCACACTCTTGCTTTCAAAGTTTCTAATTTTTGTCTTCTCTCTGGAACAATATAAAAGCTAGTCCCAGCCAGCAGCTGTACATCATCTTAAATAAAACCATGGCAGGTCAGTGAAGAGATGCAGTAGATCAGTGTTCCTTGTAGCGTCACCACTGCATGAAAGTGTTGACAGAAGTAAGGAAGTCCGATCAAATCTTACACGTATACGATTGCAATCAGTGTACATAGGCCTGTATCCTGATGCAGCTAGACTTGATTTTAGCAGGAGCAGAAAAGCAAAGTAGGTGAATTTAATTGCATTTCCATTTCAAACATAGAGGGGGGGAAAAAATCTTTCTATGTTTCTAGGCTCTTATCTGTTAAGAGACTGTTCAGTGGCAGCTTAACAAGATTTGAGTTACCATTCTTCGGCTAAGATGTGCATACACTTTTGGGCTTCTAATTTAGGACTTCTCATAGTGAATGTGTTCTTTTTGGTATGCGACCTTAAGTCTGTGTTGGTAATCAGTTCCAAAAATATGCAAAAGCTGTCCATTTGATTTAGCACCATGAGAAAAGAAAGGATGATGGAAATCTTGTCTGTTTATTTTCAAAATTTGGCTGTGAAACACGGTGATACACTCCAACTGAGGTCATTAAACTTGGGAGTGCTTTACCAAATGTAGGAATTGATTCATGGTTGCTTCAAGTTCTAAACTGACATCACCTTACATTTGGGACTTCGTTTTCTGATGAATTCTTTAGGCTGAAAAAAAGAGTTGCTCTTTCTGATTCTTCTGCTCATGTCTTTTACTGACCTGCATTAGTCTCAAAAGTGTAGCAAAGCTATTGGTACTAGCTGAAAACAGGACAGGACAGAGAGGGGACCAGTGGTCGGTTACAGCACAAAATCTACAAGAAGGGCCGGAAGAACGATCTGGGGAATTACAGGCCTGTCAGTCTGACCTCAGTGCTGAGGAAGGTTACAGAGCAGGTCATCTTGAGTGTCATCACATGGCACATACAGGACAACCAGGTGATCAGGCCCAGTCAGTACGGGTTTATGAAAGGCAGGTCCTGCTTGACTAACCTGGTCTCTGTCTGACAAGATGACCCACCTAGTGAATGAGGGAAAGGCAGTGGATGTTGTTTACTTGGACTTTAGTAAAGCCTTTGGCACTGTTTCCGACAGCACTCTCCTGGAGAAACTGGCTGCTCATGGCTTGGACAGGTGTACTGTTTGCTGGGTAAAAAAAAAAAAGTCTGGATTGCTGGGCCCAAAAGATTGTGGTGAATGGCATTAAATCCAGTTGGCAGCCAGTCACAAGTGGTGTTCCCCAGGGCTCAGTATTGGGACCAGTTTTGTTCAATGATTCATTGATGAGAGGATCGAGTGCATCCTCAGACAGTTTACAGACGACACCAAGCTGGGCGGGAGTGTTGATCTGCGGGGGGGTAGGAAGGCTCTGCAGAGGGATCTGGACAGGCTGGATCGATGGGCAGAGGTCAACTGTATGAGGTTTAATAAGGCCAAGTGCAGGGTCCTGCCAAGTGTTCAAAAAACGTATGGATGTGGCACTTCAGGACATGGTTTAGGGAACATTGTGGCGCTGGATTAATGGTTGGACTTGATGATCTTGAAGGTCCTTTCCAACCTAGTGATTCTGTGATTCTGCGACAAATTGGCTGGAGAGCTGCCCAATGGAAAAGGACCTGGGAGTGCTGGTTGACAACTGGCTTAATATGAGCCAGCAGTGTGCCCAGGTGGCCAAGAAGGCCCACAGTGTCCTGGCCTGCATGAGAAATAGTGTGTCCAGCAGGAGTAGGGAAGTGTTTAGTTTCAAATTGTTCCTTTAAAACATCCATTAACTTTTTCAAAGGTATTCTAATGTATGGCTGTAAGTGACAATTTTCATTTACTCTGCCAGATGAGACACTTTTAAGACTGGAGTTAGCAAGGGAGGAACTAATCCTCAAAGTTACAGCTTAACATATCTTTATTAAGCCTATTTTTTTCCAAAGCAACAGAATGCCTGAAATACCTAAAGTCAGGAAAGGTCACAAACAAGCTTACACATTGAGTGGACTCCTGAATAGTCACTCCACTTGAATGTCCACACATGAAACATAGTACATGGTACCATTTCAGAACAGTACCATATACCATAGCACAATTAACTGTACACCTGAACATACACATACATTTTTAATGTCTTCTTAAATTACTTCAAATGTACATGATACATAATGAAAATATACAAATTAATGGTTATCAGGAATGCAGTGTTATAGAATTAAAAATAGTAGACAACTCTTAGAAACTTGTAACATCTAAATGCTTAGGATGAAGCATATATACACAAAATTTCTACTGGTTTAGCTGAAACAGGTTTAGTTATTATTTTAAATTGCTATGCTGTTTTAACCTTGTGACAATAAACTTACTGGTTCAAATCATAAAGCAGTCTCACAAAAAATCGTTTGATGTAACTAAAAACTGTATCGTGGCCACGTATCTGTTGATCTGATACAGCTTTGTGTACATCAGTGTTTTGATGTGCTAACTTTGGCTGGGGTTGAAAAATCACAGCAAAAACTGCAGTGGTAATTTGAGATGTTACCACCACATACACATGACCAAGTATTTCCCAGACAGATACTGCCATCCCCACAGTTCAGCCAAGTTTTATGACTGCTCCTTACCCACTTCTGTACAAAACCAGGCACTTAATTACAGAGCTATCCAACCTCAATGTTGGATTGCTGCATATGAGCTTCATGTCACGAATGACTAATTTAGGCTGCTTAAAGAATCACCACCAA